ACAACGCCACTCAGTCCGCTCAGGGGGGATTATAGTGTGTATTAAAAATGACATTGTTGACAGGGTTACCGTTGAACCATAGGAGGATGAACATGTACTTTGGGTACAGATACATTTGCCTCAACACAAGAGTGTGAGTGAGTGAGTTGGGTTTAACGCCGCTTTGAACAGTATTCCAGTTATATCACGGCGTGTCAGCTTAATGTGGGAGGAAAGCCCGAAGTGATGCAGGTCTCGGACGTTTACCACTTCGGTGAAACCCACGAGCACGGGTATGGTGCTGACAAACCTAGAAACATAATCGGGGCGAACCGGGATTCGAACCCACAATCATAGGTTTCTGGCGTGCCCAAGGGACCTCAACACAAGAATATCATGCTTGGTACTATATATATTCCACCTGAAGGATCACCTTACTTTACACCAGAATGTTTCACAAACTTAGAAAATGATATAATTGATTATAGAAATAATGATAATATTATTGTAATGCCTGGTGATTTTAATGCAAGAACTAACAATAAGTCAGATATTATTAATGCTGATGATACAGACACACAATATATAAACATACCTGATGAGTTATTGGAAGAAATGCTAGATCAACATATATTGAGTGAACATGGAATGACAAAAGATAGGTTCTCTATGGATACTGGGCATGTGAACAATCATGGTAACACACTTTTGGGTTTGTGTAAAAATAATAATTTATTTATTCACAATGGAAGAATTGGAAGTGATAAGTCTATAGGAAAAGTAACATGCAAAGGTACTAGTGTGGTGGACTACTCAATTTCAACATATGATGCTATTCAGTACATATCAGATTTCACAGTACATGAATTTGATCCCTTATTTTCATATGTACGTAGTGCAATAACGAAATGGATAAACTTGAGTCCTATAGCAGACGTAATAATATCCTCATCCACGGAATACGGGAAGATGCAGGCGAAGAAAAATCAATGTCATGTAAAGATACTGTGTTTTCTGTCCTCAGTGGAACATGCTATATTCAAAACGTGGCAACCTTTGGACATAATATGTGCGCACAGTCTTGGCGTTAAGCGTGTAAATACAAATCGACCTCGCCCAATGGTTGCTAAACTACAGTCGTCTGACGACAAAGTTCTAACCTTGAAAGCGATACACACATCGAAGGAAGGTGGACTTGTCATTTCTAGTGAGCTAACGTCACAGCCGCTGCAGACACTTTTGGGTATTTCAAAGATGGTCGATTGGTGACAAAACCCCGCACCATGGAAACAACATCAGCAACGTTTAGCACTGCAGACACGACACGAGAAAGCCGATCTTTTCATAGACGACCGGATGCAAAAACAGTGTCACATGCTTCTATCAGCTAGCTAGGATATTGGCCGAAGCCCGGACAGTTCTTCACAAGATCCTTACACTACCAACACCGATGTTACGTTAAGCGTTGATTGTCCAAGCGAAACGTTCACCTTTCTAAGTTGGAATATTAATGGACTTGGAAACAAAACTGATGAAACTGATTTTATATCATACTTACAACAATTTAAAATTGCATGTCTTGTTGAAACTTTTGTCGACTGTAGCTTTGATAATAACTGGTTAGTTGGTCATGATTTGTATTATTGTCCAGCAATAACTTTAAGTTATCTGACTATGACAGGCTGTCAGGTGGTGTTTGTGTATTCGTAGGTTTGTTGTTCGGATCCAGTTGTCTTGTCGATTATTTGTTACGCGTGGCCTGCCACTTCGAGGATGGTCTCTGACTGTATTCGTCTGTTGCCAACGTTGCCATAAACACCAAATGGTGTTTCTGTGGACGTTAAATTGTCTTGCAACATCACGTTGACTCGATCCTGCTTCAAGAATACCAATGGCTCGCAGACGCTCATTTTTGGACAGGCGTGACATTTCGTAATGTTGAATAATTGCGTAATTTTGTTGATTTTCTGAGTGGTTGTTGTCAGCGCGATGCTAAACAATGCAATGGAATCCCGTTAACGCACGTGTTTTTCTGAAGCAGTTGCGTGTTTGTGACTTGATTCCATACATGTACTACAATATTGAAAACCAAACTTTACTTGTTTGAAGAATACACTAAAATATTGGTGTCACAGGAACTTATGTTGAGTATATATTGATTAGTACTCACTATGGAAAACTTAAGAAAACATTTCATTAAATATCAACTTGGTTTACTAGACCTATTTGTTAATGAAGGAAGAAAACTGTTCATTGGAAAACTGAAAAGACTTTGTCCATTATGTAAACTAGAGATAGAAAATGAAATTTATTTTGTGTTTGTCTGTCCATTTAACAATGATCTTCGAAAGAAATATATAAAAGATTATTTAATATCAATGTCACCTATAAACGCCTTTGTAGTTATTCTGAAGACAAAGATCGATTCTCATATTTTAAATATTTCTCCATATATTAAACACACATTAGCCAAAAGAAATGATTAATCAAACAACGTCTATGTCCCAATGTGTAACATTTATGATATCATTGTATCTACATGCGTAGCTCTCTCTTGTACATGGGCCGGAGGCCTTTTGTACAATAAACTTCTTTTGACTTTGACTTTGTGTCTGGAGTTCTAACGTCTTTATTGTCGTTATCAGCGATAAGTAGATGTGACGATTCGACACATTTTCATTTTGATATGATTTTATCAATGTTCTGTCCTCTTTCACATCTGGTTGGGCATCAAAAGCAATTATCTCGCCAATGGGGAAAAGATTTCGACAATATTCAAGTTGGTACCTAGGGCTGTTAAGTCGGCCAGGGTCTGTGAAACAAATACACGTGTTGAATAGGTAGTAAGAAAGTACATAACGTATCGAACAACACAGCATCCAGCTGGAGCAAGCACAGACAATGTACACACACTATCGTGAATACATTTACAATGCTGTATGAACCATATTTCGATCTATATGTAACGCAAATATACAGTCCTTAATGTATGTTGTATGTCGATCAAGGTTTATTTGATAAGCGTCTTTTGTTTCTGTTTTCACGGTTGTCTGGATTTCTCTTCTAATCCTTGAAATAATTTTTTCATGTTAAATAATCATTGATTTGTTTAAATGCTGTGATAACCCCCAACTAAATAAATGATGCACCGTGAGAATATGAAATGAACAATCAGCAGTATTACAGCTATATGACGGATATATATATACAAAAATGAGGTAAATGTTCACACGGTGTACATGTAATATATAATAAAATAATAAAGTCCACGTCAGTCCACCATCTTCTTTATATCAGTTTCAGACATAGTACTTTCGCTGTCTCATGACAGCTCTTCAGTGTAACTGACAATGACATATAATATGACGTGACGGTCATACTTATGACGACGTCATAAATTACAACTGTGACGTCATAAAGTATTTACACACTCCAGCGACGACACCAAGTAATTTAACAATTGTAGGGAGACATTTGAATTAAAATATACAGTATTTGTAAAGTAACAGTGTAACATTTACGATTGAAATGACAAATCTATTCATACATTCTCGAGTTCAATTTGGGTTTCATCAATTGGATAAACATTTGTTCTTTTTCCAGTCTCAGCTGCTTGTTACTTGTATACAATTATTAAAACGGAAAAATACTAAATTTCCCGTTTCCGCAATCATCAATGTGTTTGCTGACACCTAAGCATCGAACATCAGGGTCTCTAATCTGCTGTTTGTGTACAGTGACTCTATCTTTTAATTCCATGCCGGTTTCACCGATGTAGTTTTCGCCGCATCCCGAACATCTCATAACATACACCACATCTTTGCTGCGGCAGTTCATGTCGGCTTTCACATTGAAACCCTTGCCATTTGCAAAAAGGAAAGTAGTACCTTCACTTATGATGTTACACGTGCCGCATCTTGGTGTGCTACATCTACTTACACATGGTACACTCTCTGTACAAGAATATTTGGATGGACAAAGAATTTGGTTGAGATTTTTTAGTTGCCTGGTACTTTTTATCATGTTAATTTATATATATATACATCTGCATGGAATGGGATTGATTGATTTGTGTGGAAAACGCAAAAACACAACCACGCGAGAGCCTGGCGCCGAAACACACCATTACGACATGTACGTGCAACATCGTTGAGCTATAAAACTTTGGGTTCTCCTTTTGCATGCCATCATAATGTTACATCAAGTTAGCAGCGAAAATATGCCATGACTGACATAAGCCCAACGCAACAGCGTCATCGGGCGACTTCAAACAGGAGAATCATTTTCAGCTTCAGTTGATATTGGATGACAATGAAACAGGTCGAATATGTTTGAAAAGGACCTGTCATACCTAGATTCACAGTTGGAGCGAATCTTGGATTCGAACCCGTGATCAGCGTATCCTGGCGGTAGTATTCTTTCAGCTATTGGGTTACCTTATAACCTACATGTTTTAATCAAAACATGGTCAATATAAATTTTTACAGTTAGTGCATTTAAAAGTTCCGATTTGTATTTTATATGTGTTATATAATCTGCAAAAAAGAACTGCAAAAGTGATTTTAGATGTATATTGTATATAGCATATAAATAATCAACAGATAGTAATCGATTGGCAAACGTCAATGTCATTGACCCAGGGGATCCTTGTGGCACCTACGGAACAATAGATTGTAAAGATTAAGTTCATCTGTTTTAGATATCTTGTATTGCCACCATTTTTGAGTCCATAACTGACTGGCATCGTCATAAGCAATGAATAAATGTGGGTTCGAATCCCGAGAGAGTTCACACACACAAAAAAGTACTAGAATGTGTACTTTACTAAGAAAGTGTAATCCCAAATGTATGTATAACTGTTACATGTATACAATGTACACACTTCTTGAAGAAACAGAAGTGTTAGATAAAACTGCTGACGAATAACGATTAGGACAGTGAATTCAACATCTGTTAGCCACATGTCTTCGTGCTACAACCTCAGGCAGATAAATAGACACTGTTGCTCCACATCATGTCCAATTGGGCTACAGCAGCAACGCAATGTATTGATATTAGTAACGATTGTGATGCAAACAAAAAAGGCAAGGTTCAAGTTGGAAGGTAGGTTGGCCCTTCTGTGCGTTCTTGTTACTTTCCTTTTATGTGAGGGTGATGGCCTACATGTAATAACCTTTCCTCGTCAAGTTGAAGACCCGGGTTTCATTCCCCATGCCGGACACCTCAGTACAACAAGGAAACACGAGGGGGAACACTCAAGAGGGAACACTTGAGTGCTTACAGAGAACACAACTGTAGCACGGAGAGGGAACACTACAGTACAAGTGAACACGACTGTAGTGTAGAGAGAGAACACTTCAGTACAAGGGTACACGACTGTAGTGGAGCGAGGGAACACTTCAGTACAACCACAGAACACGACTGTAGTGTAGAGAAGGAACGCTTCAGTACAAGGGTACACGACTGTAGTGTGGAGAGAGAACACTTCAGTACGAGGGTACACGACTGTAGTGGAGCGAGGGAACACTTCAGTACAACCACAGAACACGACTGTAGTGTAGAGAGAGAACACTTCAGTACGAGGGTACACGACTGTAGTGGAGCGAGGGAACACTTCAGTACAACCACAGAACACGACTGTAGTGTAGAGAGAGAACACTTCAGTACGAGGGAACACGAGTGTTGTGTAGAGAGAGAACACTTCAGTACGAGGGAACACGAGTGTTGTGTAGAGAGGGAACAATTCAGTACGAGGGAACACGAGTGTTGTATAGAGAGGGAACAATTCAGTACAAGGGTACACGACTGTAGTGGAGCGAAGGAACACTTCAGTACAACCACAGAACACGACTGTAGTGTAGAGAAGAAACGCTTCAGTACAACCATAGAACACGACTGTAGTGTAGAGAAGAAACGCTTCAGTACACGGGTACATGACTGTAGTTTATAGAAGAAACACTTCAGTACAAGGGTACACGACTGTAGTGTAGAGAGGGAACACGACTGTAGTGTAGAGAGGGAACACTTCAGTACAACCACAGAACACGACTGTAGTGTAGAGAAGAAACACTTCAGTACAAGGGAACACGACTGTAGTGTAGAGAGGGTACACGACTGTAGTGTAGAGAGGCAACAAGACTGTAGTGCAGAGAGGGAACGCTTCAGTACAAGGGAACACGACTGTAGTGTAGAGAGGGTACACGACTGTAGTGTAGAGAGGGAACAAGACTGTAGTGCAGAGAGGGAACACTTCAGTACAAGGGAACACGACTGTAGTGTAGAGAAGGAACGCTTCAGTACACGGGTACACGACTGTAGGGTAGAGAGGGAACACGACTGTAGTGTAGAGAAGAAACGCTTCAGTACAAGGGTACATGACTGTAGTGTAGAGAAGAAACGCTTCAGTACAAGGGAACACGACTGTAGTGTAGAGAGGGTACACGACTGTAGTGTAGAGAAGGAACGCTTCAGTACACGGGTACACGACTGTAGTGTAGAGAGGGTACACGACTGTAGTGTAGAGAGGGAACAAGACTGTAGTGCAGAGAGGGAACACTTCAGTACAAGGGAACACGACTGTAGTGTAGAGAAGGAACGCTTCAGTACACGGGTACACGACTGTAGGGTAGAGAGGGAACACGACTGTAGTGTAGAGAGAGAACACTTCAGTACAAGGGTACACGACTGTAGTGGAGCGAGGGAACACTTCAGTACAACCACAGTACATGACTGTAGTGTAGAGAAGGAACGCTTCAGTACAAGGGAACACGACTGTAGTGTAGAGAGGGAACGCTTCAGTACAACCACACAACACGACTGTAGCACAGAGAGGGAACAAAGAGTGTGAAGACTCTTTCGATCGTGAGACTGAGTTTGTCAACGTTCGAAAGAAGGCATATTTGAGTATTCCAGAGTATCGCGGGTTGTTTAGGTGTTGTGAAAAGGGTTTAAACGTCGAGTTCAACATAAGTGCATTTCTATAGAGACGTGCATGCACACGTGTTTTATGTCTGTAATGCATGTACTGGTCCGAGCTTATGTCGGTTTTACAGTACACGCCCACTGAGATACCACGCCACAGTTTAACATGAATACCCAACTCACACAGTATACTGACTCCGAGCCGACCAGTCCTTCTTTTAGGCAGGGAAACAACACGTACCATTTAAAAAAGTCCTTTGGTAAGACAAAACCGGCGATCGGACCTCCGCCCTTTCTCTCTCCGTGCAGGCGCTATTCAGTAAACATTAGTTAATGACATTTTCATCACGACTTAACAAGTTAAGTTTGGTTTTCAATATTGTAGTACATGTATGAAATCAAGTCACAAAAACGCAACTGCTACAGAAAAGCATGCATTCCATGCAAAAGTTGACTTTTATGCAAGCCCCATGCATTTCACTACCCAAGAATGGATATAAAAACATGTGCGTTAACGGGATTCCATTACATTGTTTAGCATCGTGCTGACAACAACCACTCAGAAAAACAACAAAATTACGCAATTATTCAACATTATGTTGTTCTACCGTTTTTGTGTCGTCATGGCCCAGGCATTACCTTACAACGCCCGGTCTCATATTGCTCGACTTGTTCAGGGTTCTCTTCAACAAAACAACGTGAATGTTATCCCCTGGCCGGCTCGCTCCCCTGATCTCTCACCAATCGAGCACATGTGGGATGAGATACATACACTCCAGGAACTTCGAAATATGCTCCAGCAGATATGGACAGATATCCCACAGGACTTTGTGCGACGCCTGGTCCATTCCATGAGACGAGGATGTGTTGCTTGCATCGCAACCAGAGGTGGACACACACGCTATTGATTTGTAAATTGACACTTTGGCATGTTCATTTTTTTTATGAAATCACGCATTTTCTGAAGTCAGTATGGCTAATTAAACCATTTGAACACTTACAGGAGTCTTTTATCTGTTGCAAACCGAAATTGTTTCAGATTTGGTAAAAAACATAACTTTGCATCAAATCTTATTCAATGTCACAGGAACTTTTGTTGTTCAGTATACTTTCAGATCTAACAACAGATTTTCTACTGAAATGCAGATATCCATGAGGAGTATTTAAGAAATGTCTTCCCAACTCAACTATACTAAAATGCAAAAGAAACGTTACCATGGATAGATATATGAGAAACCTTTTATGTCAAAACACTGGAAACATACTTTGAGACACATTAAAAAGATGAAACTTGGCAAAACTGATCACAAAGGTTGAAATTAAAGTGTCAAATGTTCTTAAAGCGAAACACAACACAAGTCTGAGAAAATGGCATCAGGATTCAGTATCTCGTGTGTCCACCATGTGCATTGATGACTGACGTGCAACGTCGTTACATGGAATGGATGAGGCGGTTGATGAAGGCCATAGGCACTTGAGCCCACACTCTGTGGAACGCCTGATGGAGTTCAGCTGCAGTTGTCGGCCTTGGTCGGACGTCATTCAGCCGTCTTTGAATCTCGTCCCACAGTTGCTCAATGGGATTTAAATCGGGACTGTTGTTAAGACTCTTGTTGCTCTCGCAGTGTGGGCTCGGGCGTTATCATGCTGAAACTCGTGGTTGCGGCGACGTGCCGAATGAGGTATGGCGTGTGGCCTCAAGACTTGATCAATGTACTGAGGATGACGGATGACCACAGGGTCGACCTTCTGTGCAAGACCAATTCCATCCCACACCATGATGCACGGACCACCCCACGAGTCTCTCTCAACAACACAAGCATCCGAAAAACGTTATCCATGCCGTCACAAGACTCGTCGACGCACGGTGTACGCACTAATGTGTCGCTGGTGTGTCCCCGTGGTCTTTCGGGCGCTGTTTCCGCAGCAGTAACAAAGCGATCTTGAAGATGCTGTCGTACAATCTGACGATCCTGGCGTCGGGTGGTGACCCTTGGTCTTCCACTACGTGGCCAGTCATCTGTAGTGTTGGTGGTCTGGTACCGTTGCTGTAGCCTGTATATGGTCCTTACGTGGACTTGAAATGCATGGCTACTTGCCGGGCGGTTTTTCCAGCTTGCAATCGTCCAAGGGCTTGGTGTCGCTGATTTCTTGTCAATCTTGGCATGTGGTAGAAATTCAATAACGAATGAATGTTATCCGATCTGGATGGATTTTTATTGGCAAGAAATGGGGGAACGCATGTGAATTTCAATTTGCACGGAGCTCACGTGCATCGGGTTACCATGGCCGTTGCCGTGATGCGATCGGTTTTATTGTCATCTGCTTTGGGATTTTTATAACCAAATTTCATTTTTCCGGACAAGGTAATGTTAGAAACTTTGACAAAAATTACCCAGATATATATTTAATGACAGCTTTACATGCAATGTGACTTGGGGTGACGTTTCTTTTGCGGTTCAGTATATAAACGAACTAACAAAAGCAAGGACGAACCTCTCATACGTGACACGCAATCTGACGTTTGCTTAGGGGCCAAAGTCCATTAAACGTTTTGTCGGCGTATCATGTTGTTAATGGTAACTCACAACGTACATTTGTAGTGATGACGCGATACTCATGATACGAGTGAGGTAAAGCGATATAGACTTAACATGCCTGAATAATATACTATAAATGAAGACGGTATAAACTTAGCGATTCCAACTTCTTTCATTATTTCAAGTCGACCCTATCCTTACTGCAAACAGATGATGCCGTAATCTATCATTAACAAATGTATTTTTCGTTACTTTTAGATCGTGAGGTTAACCCTCCCAGCCACAGTATGCGGTGCTCTAAACGGAAAATGGCTGTATTCAGGTAGGATCAGAATTCTCTTTGGGATAGTGAGTGAGTGAGTTGGATTTAACGCCGCTTTTAACAGCATTCTAGTTATATCACAGCGTGTCAGCTTAATGTGGGATGAAAGCCCGACGTGATGCAGGTCTCAGACGTTTACCACTTCGGTGAAACCCACGAGCACGGGTATGGTGCTGACAAACCTAGAAACATAATCGGGGCGAACCGGGATTCGAACCCACAATCATAGGTTTCTGGCGTATACAAGGGACGCAACTCTGCACATAGAATCACGGCGCCTTAGACGACTGGGCCATCCGTGCCCCCTTTTGGGGATCTGTCATTAATGTAAGAGACGGTTGGTAAAAAGGAGACATTGCACCACAATAATAATTTAATTTTGCATTACATAATGTAATTTTTAACGAACAAGAAATAATGAGAATAATTGACGTGCTGAGTTGTGTTGATTTTTTTTTTAAATATCAGTATTCGTGACATTTCGGAATGTGTTTTCTTACCATGCAACCTCACAAAGGTGAACACTGGTATTCCGACCGAGGGTATTCCGTTATGAGTTCCGTCGAAATCACACTCGCTTCAATGGGGTAAACATTTGAACAGAAGTAACTTTCCATAGCCCATACTGTCATACAATCACGGTCATCCAGTTTTAAAATTTTGAACGGTGTGAAATATTTGCCAAAGCATAGTCTGTAACGGAAGTCGCCAGTTTGAATCTGGTGCCGTATAGCACGAGAAAGCTGCTTTCCGATTGTCCAAAAAAAATGTAGACTTCTTGTTAGTCATGTCATTGGTCGGTCAAGTTCGCGAAAGGGTGTTCTGACATGACCTGATATGTGATGTCTTTAGATCTATGCACAACGACCACCCTTCAACAGAATAAACAGTCGTGATCTCTGAACTATAGTCGAAATCTTTGTTTCTGCCCGGATTAAGTACGTCCCCAGCACTCCCTTCCATGAAAGTAAGGAGTAAATTGGGTCGGGATGTTGACGGTTATGCCATACCCTGATGGCACGTGAGGTTGCTCATATCCACCGCTGGCTTTTGTTAATCACAAAATTATAAAGCTATGTAAAGTCATAACATTGAAGTAAACAATTCTTAATGTCTTTGCATAATGAAAAATATATAAAATTTAGATTTTTCAATATAATTTTGACAACAGAGAAACATCTATTACACACACACACACAAACAAATTATATATCAAAATGTGTGGGATTTAGTGTGTGACACATTCCATTACACAAAAGTTGTCTAGGAATTGTAAATTCTGTTTTTCATGCTTATTTCTGAAATTTGGAAATTGGAAAAAAATGGCGGCCATCTTGAAAATGGCGACCAAAATGAGATTTAGCTGGACATGTTGGATGTCCACCATGTGATTTCATGTAGTGTGGACATCAGGCTATCTGAAAACCACAATTGAAATTCGTCCCTCCATTTGGTAGTCAAACATAAAAATCAGGGGTCTGGCTCATGGACTATGTGGCCCAGTATCGAAAACTAAGATTGTATCACTGGAACATTTGCTAACTGCAGCGTTAAACAACATTCACTCAACTCGCTATATCATACATTGTATTTGTCAAACTCGTTCTCTAAGTCTCAACTGATAATGACCTGTTGTCAGTGCGATGTTGACCCCATGTTTGTTTGACAATGACCTGGAACCTGTAAGACAGCGACCTGAAATGCATCAGAAAGTGACCTATTGTCTCATCAGACAATGGTCCGGTGTCAGTCAGACAATGACCTCAAGTTCACCAGAGACTTATCTGGTGTCAGTCAGACAATGACCTCATGTTCACCAGACTGACCTGGTGTCAGTCAGACAAGGACCTCATGTTCACCAGAGACTGACCTGGTGTCAGTCAGACAATGGCCTCATGTTCACCAGACTGACCTGGTGTCAGTCAGACAATGACCTCATGTTCACCAGAGACTGACCTGGTGTCAGTCAGACAATGGCCTCATGTTCACCAGACTGACCTGGTGTCAGTCAGACAATGACCTCATGTTCACCAGACTGACCTGGTGTCAGTCAGACAATGACCTCATGTTCACCAGAGACTGACCTGGTGTCAGTCAGACAATGGCCTCATGTTCACCAGACTGACCTGGTGTCAGTCAGACAATGACCTCATGTTCACCAGAGACTGACCTGGTGTCAGTCAGACAATGGCCTCATGTTCACCAGACTGACCTGGTGTCAGTCAGACAATGACCTCATGTTCACCAGAGACTGACCTGGTGTCAGTCAGACAATGGCCTCATGTTCACCAGACTGACCTGGTGTCAGTCAGACAATGGCCTCATGTTCACCAGAGACTGACCTGGTGTCAGTCAGACAATGGCCTCATGTTCACCAGAGACTGACCTGGTGTCAGTCAGACAATGGCCTCATGTTCACCAGACTGACCTGGTGTCAGTCAGACAATGGCCTCATGTTCACCAGAGACTGACCTGGTGTCAGTCAGACAATGACCTCATGTTCACCAGAGACTGACCTGGTGTCAGTCAGACAATGGCCTCATGTTCACCAGAGACTGACCTGGTGTCAGTCAGACAATGGCCTCATGTTCACCAGAGACTGACCTGGTGTCAGTCAGACAATGGCCTCATGTTCACCAGACTGACCTGGTGTCAGTCAGACAATGACCTCATGTTCACCAGAGACTGACCTGCTGTCAGTCAGACAATTACCTCATGTTCACCAGACTGACCTGGTGTCAGTCAGACAATGGCCTCATGTTCACCAGACTGACCTGGTGTCAGTCAGACAATGACCTCATGTTCACCAGAGACTGACCTGGTGTCAGTCAGACAATGGCCTCATGTTCACCAGAGACTGACCTGGTGTCAGTCAGACAATGGCCTCATGTTCACCAGAGACTGACCTGGTGTCGGTGAGTGTGATGTTGAGCCGATGTTCGTGAGACTATGACCCGGACCTGTAAGACACCTGAAATGCATCACACAGTGACCCATTGTCTCATTAGACAATGGTCTGACGTACGGGTGTCCATCTGACAAAGACTTGGCTTTCGCAAGACAATATATATCTTGACATAGTTTATTACACACAGAATACAGATACAGGTTACGCCAAATTGGATCTGCATAATTTGCCCTTAAATATCACACATGTATCCATAGCGTGTGCCAAGAACATGCGTCCCATTTTATGGGTACAGTCCAAAACATATGACCATAAATCTGTAAAATATTAATTCCTGATGCTTGATCTACGCAGCTTCCATAATGGTGTATGTAAAATGTCATCCTTGTTCCATAGTGGTTTCCGAGAAAGTTTTGCCCCTTTTGGGATCCTCTGGCCCAGGACCACAACAGAGTATAATATAAATGCTTGTGATGGTTTCCGAAATCAATCTTCTTATACTCTCCATAAAAAGTAGAGGATCATGATTATAAAGGTTATTATCTGTCGTTTAAAGAAAGATCAGCTTTGAGAAATGGCTGCCTCAACACACCCGAAACATTTCGTGTGAACCATGTAATTCCTCCGTGCACGTGGGTAGGGCCAATTTAAAACTTCAGTGAAAGGTTGTCAAACCGCTCTCATTCATTAGTATTGTTGATTTTCATTATCCATAGTAACACGTATACTCTTTCTACTGTTGCTTCAATGCAGTATCAGATTGAGAATGCGTCTTCTACAGCGTGGTGAACGCCTAAGGGCTACTGGCATGCTTCAAACTGAACTGGTGGCATTCAGCGAGAGGTTGCCAATATGTTCAATGTGTTTTAGTCAGTTATATGCAGACTTTGGAACAGGTTTCCGGAAACGCAAAATGTTACAGATCGGCTCCGTACAGGGCGCCCTTGGTAAAGAACAAAAACCCAGGATAGGTTAATCAGAAACCAGGCTTTGATAAACAGAGCCCCAAACAGCCAATCAAATCGCTGTAAACTTGCGTCAGGCCACCGTAGGGAAGGTTACTGAAAATACGAGTCTGCGTGCTCGGCGACCGCGTGGCGACGCCAATGTTGTAGAGCGTAGAATCTAAGGGAATCGCCGATGGTCGCGTGAAATGTTTCAGATCAGACTATATTCATCCTGGACCTTCTGGATAGGCGTCGATAGGTCAGCAGGCGTCCAGACGAATGTGATGCGAATGTCAACGTGAGGCGACATGACAGCTTTATGACATGGGCGGGATCACTACGAACAACAGAACACCACTGCATATTGTCTATGGATTTGGTTGGTTTGTTGTTTAACACCACACTCAGCAATATTCCAGCTATATGACGGCGGTCTGTAAATAATCGAGTCTAGACCAGACCATTCAGTGATTGATATCATGAGCATCGATCCACGCCATTGGGATCGATGACATGCATCAACCAAGTCAGCGAGCCTGACCACCTGATCCCGTCAGTCGCCTCTTACGGCAAGCATGAGTTGCTGAAAACCTATTCTGCCCCGGGTCCTCACGGGTCTATTGTCCATGGAAGGGTCACTGGACAGTACTCCCAAAACAACATCCTGACGTCAATAGCTGTGCCCTTTAGGCGCCATGCTAGTCCATGCTGACGCCTGAAACCGCTCGTATCTACCGTGCGCATATCGTAACTCCAGCAGCAAAACATCACCATAATGCAATGGCCAGCTATGAGTCCTGACCATTCCCGCATAGAGCACGTCTTGGACGTGATCGGGAGACGTGTATGCCAATGTCAAAGGCCACACGCTACTTAAGCCGAAGTTGGCCAGGCGTTGCAAGAGGAATGGGCAAAACTCCTAAAAAAACTGGAAAATTGATTCGGACCATGCCACGCCGTATAAACGAATGTTTGACTAATCGTGGGGTATGGCCTATTATTGAACAAGTCATCGCAAAGAAGACCCCCTTCTTTGCACCCAATACACCGTCAACATGTTCTGTCAATGGCCATGTTACACCAAGGCCTTCCATTTTCCTGTCCATCCATTACCAAAACCTCTTTGTATTTATGTAATCATCCGTTTTTTCTCCGTATAGTTATCACATACTAATATGTCATCCTTGTATTCCTTGCGGATTCTGAAAGCAATGTACCTCATCCCATTTGGATAACCAGTAAATGCACCATGTCCAAAAGCATCAGGCAAATTCTGAAAGCTAGCTTCCGAACTTCAGCTACATTGCTATACCTTAAGGATGTATGCAAAATATCATCCATGTATCGATCAAACTGTTTCCGAAAATATTGTGCCCACTAAGTGGGACGGGCGGAAGGACTTAGCCCAAACCTATATCCTATATCCCTAATCCCGAGACACGAGTATAATAAATTAAAATCTCTCTGTCTCGTCACCACTTTGTCCTCATAAAGACATGACATTACATGACTGCAAGATGATACGACGTTATCAATGTTTCAGGATGTTTCTCCAAGCTTCCATTGTTGCCGTCATCGTTGTCGTCAGTGTAACCTACAGTAATTTCGGAGAAGCATTTAAAAGGAACATCAACATTCCAACGTCTGACACCAACTATTATATCCGGAACCAAGGAACCAGTACTATCACACACGGTGCATCAGCTAGTGAAAGTGACGCCAAACCGAAGAAGATAACAGAAGATGACCACCAAGACCATCGTCGATATTCGTCAGAAGTTCGCCATATTGCTTTCTTGAAGGTCCACAAATGTGCCAGTTCCACCATGCTTAATATCTTTTATAGGTTCGGTTATAAAAGGGGACTTAACTTTGTTCTCCCCACTGAAAGTAACTACATTCATATGATTCAACGAAAAGGAGTTATATCACTTGTCCCTCCACCCGCCATGTCCGGGTATGATATTCTTTGCAACCATGTTCGTAGATTCAACAAAAAACAATTCTCTCGTTTCCTTCCACCAGACACCAAGTATATCGCCATAGTTCGAGAACCTTTTAAAAGAATGTACTCGGCGTTTAATTTTTACCGGAACTTATTACACTATCCGATCTTGAGGCGGGTTGGAGGTTTGGACCCTTTCCAAACCTACCTCGATGATATCGCAGCCTTTGAATCAAAGTGGGGACATAGATCCTTTACTAATAACGCGATGGCAAGGGATTTTGGCTTTCCTACCAAGGACTGTAGAAACATTTCAAAGTTCAAAACGTATCTAGAAACACTTGATCAGCAGTTCCACTTTGTTATGGTGTCGGAGATGTTTTACGAGTCACTGGTGCTCTTGCGTAGGTTACTTAAGTGGTCCATGGAAGATGTGATATTTCTGACAATAAATGCGCATGAACACAAAGCTGTCGCAATGAATGCTAGCTCCGAGGATATCAAACCTTTTCTCGCTCTTGATCGTATTCTGTATGATCATTATCTTACAAGACTTGAGGAACAGATTGTGTCAGAAGGGCCAGATTTTCACAACGAGCTTCAATACTTCAAAGGTATAAACTCCAAAGTCACGGAGCTTTGTAATGCAAGGAATACCACGACAAAACTGCTGTCATTCGGGGCAAATGACTGGCATGGTGACTTTAACATCACGCTGTATGATTGTGAATTGCTTGGTAAACAGGAGATCAAGTTTTTGAATTTAGTCCGGCGTGAACAAATTGAACGCGTAAACAAATATGGAGCTAATAAAAGTTACTTCCAATAACAGTTATCTTTTTTGTCTGGTAATCATTAATTTTTAGTATGTGTAAAAATGATTTATTTCTTGAACAGCAGTACCGTTCGTAATTTGCAAGTCGGGGAATAAATACTCCGAGCTTTTGTAGCTTTGTTGAGGCATCATTGCGTTTATTTAGTTATTTGGTTGGAGGGGTGTTGATATTGAAAGGAAACCTAAATTAATATCAAAATTTGATCTACCTACCCAAGTGGAGTGGTTGAATAGCGAAAAATAAAATTGAATACAAGTCTAAACTATCTAAACACCACAGGCTGGATGGCTGAAGTAGGGGTAAGCGGTTTGAGAGTGATTGGAAGTTACTGTGCCAGCGTTTCACAGAAACCTAATCACCGAAAACAATGTATGAACGATTGTGCATTGTTTCAAGTTATTGTTACCCGTGGATATCCTGGGATAGGATAGGCCCCAGAAACTTATGCTTGTCATACGAAGTGACATACAGGATCGGGTGGTCAAGCTTGGTTGGTTGCGTGTTTTCGCGCGCACAGGACGCGGAGCATTGCTCAATGGGAGTGAGTGAGTGAGTATAGTTTTACGCCGCTTTTAGCAATATTCCAGCAATATCACGGCGGGGGACACTAAAAATGGGCTTCACAATTTGTACCCATGTCGGGAATCGAACCCGGGTCCTCGGCGTGACGAGCGAACGCTTTAACCACTAGGCTTCCCGACCACCCCTCATTACTCAACGATTGGATTGTCTGATCCGGAGTCATTTATGGACAGGATGCCGTTATAGCTTGAATATTGCTGAAAGCGGTGTTAAACAAAACAAAACATTTTCATGTGTAAATTATATTTACTTTTTATATTTTCGCTTTCACGGAGTTTGGGAAAGTCTGTGATGAAACGTAAGGCAGTAGTTTTGAAAAAAATTGTTTCCTCTCGGTTAATATACTCCCCAGATATAGGTAAGTAAATATATATAACACGGACAGTTGGTATACAAATATTCCGTTTTTGAACAAAGAAACAAATGCATATTCATCCAGGCAGATATGAAAGGTCAAGGCCAGAGGATAACCAGTTTCGATTATCCCCCGAAAATATTCCATTGAGCGTCAAAGGCAAAAGAGCCGTGAAAACTACTGGCAGATAAGCCAGGTGTTCGCGAAGGTCATACATTTACGCCCCTAAAACGCACTTGTAGGATTAATAGCATTGACCTGGACAACGGCTTGTCTGTTGGCCTCACACTCTGACATATTGTTACCACCCTTTCTACAACACACACATATGCCCACCATGTGATCACAGCACAAATATAACGTTTATTCAAACATATTTAAGTTGGTAGCCAAATATTGACTACACGAACAGAAAATGTTTTTTCGCGACATAGCAAAATGTGCATGGATTATAACCAGCATAATCGACTCAGTGAAGAGCCCCTAAGTAAAAGAAGACTATAAATAGTTCTGATATCTAATATACTGTCAAGGGCCAAAATTATTATAAGATTATACACATTTAATTGCAACGTATCCGTCAAGTGTGGGGATTTCTGTATCAGGATGATATCTTGACAAATAAGTATCAAAAGATAAGTTTATGTCGACGTTTCTATGTCCACGGGGAGGGATGAAACACCCGATCCTTGCTCGCCAAACATCGAGCGTTATACCCATAGTGATCTAGATGCAGATTTGGATGCAGAGTTGTATTAGTGAGCCATCTTTTCGACAATATTCACAATTTTGTAGGACAGCTGAAACCTGCGACTTCTCACCTTCACGCATGCGCATTCTCATTCATTGACTTTGACTTTGACTTTGATAAGTTTATGGTTACATTAACATCATGGAGATTGTTAAACAAAACATAGTATGTTATACGTGTATATCTGTAGTTGCATTAAATTATGTGTTTATTGACTACATTCTTGACAAATATTTGTTTAAACTAAATTCAAATACATTGTTTATCATTAATGTTTTTGACGTCCTCAGAATAGGTGAGGTGAAATGGGATTTAAATTATTGCACTTAGATAAAGATGTGCATGCACGTGTGTGTGTGTGGCTGCTTGTACTAGTCCGGACTGATGCCGATTAATTGCGGTAGCACACTGAGATACCATGCCGCATTGTAACATGAATATCCCACTCAGACACAGTATACTGACTCCGAGCCGACCAGTCCTTGTTTTCAGCCCCTTTATGCCGAGCGCCAGACAGGGTAAAAAAAAGTACCATCTTTTATTGTCTTTTGGTATGACGCGGTCGGGGATCGAACCCCGGACCACCTGCTCTCCGATCGGACGCTCTACCAATAGACCATGGAGGCGGTCAGTCCTCAGAATAAATATTGTTAATGCCATGATATGATCAGACCTCATAGAACAAAACTGTTTAGCATGATGATTGTTGCAATGAAACTTTGTTGGTTGATGCATGCATGTCATCGTAACCCATTTGCGTAGATCGGTGTTCATGATGTCAATCACTGGATTGACTGGTCTATATTCATGTCTTACTTATTTGCATCCTGTATAGATATATTAGACATAATGTCATATCTAACTGTTTTATTCCTAGATTATGTAAACAATATTATTAAGGTAAGAAATACCTGAAATCAATTACAATACTGAATGTGAAAATTGTTTGTATTCTGGGCCAAATGATAAATATGTATTTTTTGTTGAACCTGCCATACTCTCTTCAATGGCTACAGTGTCAGCCTAGGTTGCCTGCAGCTTGGCCTAGAGTTTGCTATGTCTGACGCGACATAACGAACTTCAGCACATTTTGCGTTTGTTTGTTTGTTGTTTAACGCCTCACTCAGCAATGTTCCAGCTATATTGACAGCGGTCTGTAAATAATCGAGTCTGGACCAGACAATCCAGTGCTCATTTACGTCGATAGAATAGCTGGAGTACAGCTGGAGTCTTGCCTTAGTGAAAAGCTTAACGTCCTCTGTAACGTATCTGGTAATAACCGACGACGCGTTTCTTTATTCTTTTTTATTAACGCCACAGTCAGTAACGTCCCGCTACATGAAGACGCCCTGTAAATAATCGATTCTGGACATCCAAACCATTGATTGATATTATCAGCAACGTCCAAGGTCGTAGGGGTGTGATGACATGCATTCAACCGCGCAACCAAGTCTGACCACCTCCTCCTCCTCGTTCGACTTGCATAGGTTGCTGTGGCCTATTCACCAGCGGATTCGTCGGGAAAGCCTGTTAAGTTATGTTTGTTTGTTTGCTGAAATATTGCTGAAAGCTGCGTAAACCACACACACTCACTTACACTGATAACAACATAGACACCTTCACGTAACAGGTCCCAATTGCGTGGATCGATGCTCATGATATTAATCACTGGATTGGCTGGTCCAGACTCGATTATGTTACAGACCGCCGTCATATAGCTGGAATATTGCTGAGTGCGGAGTTAAACTACAAACCAACCAACTAACGTATTTCAGATATGAGATGAATGATCGTGAATTAATCAGTCACGCAGTGCCCATGTCAGGTGTTCCAGCCCCGTCTTGATATTGCTGGATATTAATCACTTGTATCTCATACTTCATTGAGGAGCGTGAACACACGTGAGCAGTCTTCCAAAAGGGGGCCTTACAAGCAGGCTTCAGAAGCATTCAACAACGTCATCTCCTTCTCCAACGTGGAATGTGTGGTCGAAGTAACAGATTTTACGTTCGCCCTAGGACCCGTGAAGATCCGGGGTAGAAAAGGTCTTCAGCAACCCACGCTTGCCGTAAAAAGCGACTATGCTTGTCGTAAGAGGCGACATACGGGATCGGGTGGTCAGGCTCGCTGACCTCGTTGGTGCATGTCATCGAATCCCAATTGCATGGATCAATGCTCATGATGTCAATCGATGGATTGTCTGGTCCAGACCCGATTATTTACAGACCGCCGTCAACCGATATTACTTCAGACAACCATGACTTCGTTGAGCTTGCCTTTTACAAATAAGTGAAATTCGTAATATGAGATTAATAATTAGTTCAGTTTAGATTAATAAGTAAATGATTAACTCAGAGACAACATGTCTTTCCTAACACCTGATGTCATGATTGTTTATATAATATAATCGGTTTCGTCGGATAATCGAGACTGGTTATTCTCTGGCGTTGACATTTTATATTGTGTTAGTAATAATAATAGTGTCTAGACATCCCAAAAAATCAAACTTCATCCACTCCGGCATGCCCATCCGTATTCTCATAGGCATCCCTTTTCCTGTCCCCACCAACATCACAGTATTTGTATCATGCATTTTAAGAGCGCTTCTATATCTCCAACATGCTGCACTTGTAGTGTTGTTGTAGATTGTTGTAACCATCTCGGCATACTTTCAACAGATCGCTTTGAGTATAACCGTGTGGCTAGGGCATTAACATGTTCATCCAGGACAGCCCTTAGACTACTCATTTCATTACTTGGAATTGTACCTTCACAACGTTTTGTGACAGTGGTTTGGTGAGTAATGGAAATCAGCGTCGTGAATAGAAACTGTTCAGAACAGAGCTGGGGGATTCTGAGGATGTCTCCGTCTGTTCGAAAAAGGGAAGATGTGTCACGCTTCCGTAATCACCAACACGGACGCATTGTCCACCGTGGTTTCTTATGGAGTTACAAATGTGTAGCAAGAAGAAAACAAGCTAATGAATACGTCTCATCGCAGATTGTTTCATTAGATAATCAAAATGACATCAAATTTGTGGCGTCAGAAATCCAAGAAAATTTGAACAGTTTAAGCCTGAATGGAGGGCAGCATGACACAACAGAATAAAAGAAGAGTAGGTTGAGTGAGTGAGTTGGGTTTAACGCCGCTATTAACAGTATTCCAATATAGATCTCTGATTTGCCTCACCAATTTGCCTCGCACCTGTTCCTCTATATCCGATAAAGTTCTGTCAAGACTCCTCTAGCTATTACACACGCACACATGCACACACATATGCACGCACGCATTCTCACACACTGTTTATGGACCAATGTCTCTTTAACGTTTTGTGAGATACAGTAGTAAGTAAAAGTGAGTTTGGTATGAGGCTTTTTTTCAGTATTTCAGTTATATCAGGGCATGTCAGCTTAATGTGGGAGGAAAGCCAGAAGTGATGCAGGTCTCAGACGTTTACCACTTCGACGAAACCCATGAGCCACGGTATGGTGCTGACAAACCTGGAAACATAATCGGGGCGAACCGGGATTCGAACCCATCATCATAGGTTTCTGGCGTGCCCAAGGGACGCAACTCTGCATAACAAATCGCGGCGCTTTAGACGACTGGGCCACGCGTACCACCAGAGTAGATTGAAATAGCATAAGAACGGAGTGCACATTAAAATATGTCCACTTGTTGAACCATACGTGACAGAAGTGCCTTTCAAGGTATGACCCTTCAGCGTTGAGACAGGATGCTACAACACTCTACAACACTCCGCTCAGAGACAGAACTGGTCCATTCTGCAGAGAAACCGAAGACGATGACTGCCACACGACACGTTCCATCACGTGTAGGTGTCGGTATAGCTATATTTGTTCTGATTTGAATGATTTTTTTTAAATTATACTATTTTTGACAGAACCAGTTTTAACAGTTACGAAGAATATTTCAAAATAACGATCTGATGTTTTATATCCTGTTTTATCTTCAGTGTTTGTTATTTTCTATTGCCATTGATTCTTCATATGCATGTTGATGTTAAAAAAGTACATACACTTTTGTCAATAGTCCACAACACTGTAGCTCACCTTGATGTGCAGTCAACAGTTTAAAATGTCAACAATGACACACATTTATAAAAAGTGCGATCATGGACATTAAAAAAAAGCTGAATCATTTGATTTTTGTTTGTTGTTTTAAGTCGTACTTAGCAATATGCCAGCTATATGGCGGGGGCTGTAAATAATCGAGTCTGGACCAGACAATCCAGTGATTGAAATCTTGAGCATCGATCCACGCAATTGGGATCGATGAAATGCATCAACCATGTCAGCGAGCCTGGCCACCCGATCCCGTTAGTCGCCTTTTACGACAAACATAGTCACCTTTTTACGGCAAGCATGGGTTGCTGAAGACCTATTCTACCCCGGAATCTTCACGGGTCCTCAATGATTTGACCAACATATGAAATCCCCTAAAGGAGAAACACAAATGCCAAAGCTAAGGTACCTCGGCCGAATATGCCTTTTGGGATAATTTAAGATCATGGTCAAAACAAGGTCAAACTTTATAATATTGAAAAGGAAGGAACATATGTGTTGAAACTAAGCAAATATCAAATTTGATTTCATTCTAAACAAAATTTCGGGGTAGAATTGGTATTTAGAAACCTATGCTGGTTGTTAGTGGCGACCAAATGGATCGGTTGGTCAGGCACGGTGACTTGGATCGTTGTTCACAATATCGATCACAGGATTGTCTGATCCAGACATTGCTTACCTGCCTTCGTTATATAGCTGGGATGTTGCTGAGTGGGGCGTTAAACAACTACCAAACAAACACATCTAATACACAAAAGCATGACAATATAAACGCAATATCAGGTAAAAACTAAAAATGCAGACAAATAAAATATTCGATCACTAAATGTTTATTTCACTCAATATGAAAGCCGTTGCTATTTAACTGAAAAAAAACACTTTAACATGAATTTGTATTCATATATACAACAGTGGCTTCAAATAAGTATAACACCGTAAATTAAACACAACACCTCGAGAGGATAAGGTAGTATCTAAAACAAAAATGCATCCCAACATCTCCATTATACACTCATGTGTCATCACACATAACAAAGGAAATATAAGTTTTTACAATGGAGCACGCTGGTAAAAAAGAAATCAATAATTATGTTGCTAAGTTATCACAAGATCAAACTTCTCGCAATCCATTATGAAGTACGCATGTACATTATCGCTTCCTCATAAAAAAGAAGTCGCGTAAAGAAAACTGTCTATTAAATTTTTCAATTAATTCATGACAGTAGTATGGAAGCAAACGACAAAATGTGTTCCTGGTGATACAAATGTATTGACCCACCACCACCTGTTGCCTCAACACATGGATGAAAGCTGAAAAAAACCTCCAGGCGTTAGATAATGCAGTGTCGACAAGAGTGTCGCTGCGTTGCTTTGACTGACATACTCTACATGATATTAAAAATACTAAGATGAGCATTTGCCAACACATCCACTGATGCAGTCTGGTTTAATACAGAGTATGTATTGCTAGCGTATGGCAGAGTAATAAATGTTTTCTGACAAACAGTGAGGATATTTGGTTGTCGTTCGATGGTCGCAAAGTCGGTTCGCGTGTGGATACCGGGTTAGAATTATAGGTCACAAGAAGCCTATGCGGGTCGTAAGAGGCGGCCAAATAGACCGGTGATGAGGTTGATGCCGCATCATCATACCCCAGAATTTACACCATAGTAATTCATTGCATTTTAGTTGGATAACCCCCCCCCCCCCCCCCCCCCCCCCCCGGATTGGTTGGTTGGTTGTTTAAAGCCGCACCCAGCAATATTACAGCTATATGACGGCGGTCTGTAAATAGTCGAGTCTGGACCAGACAATCTAGTGATTGAAATCTTGAGCATCGATCCACGCAATTGGGATCGATGACATGCATCAACCAAGTCAGCGAGCCTGACCACCCGATCCCGTTAGTCGCCTATTACGACAAGCACAGTCATCTTTTACGGCAAGCATGGGTTGCCAAAGACCTATTCTACCCCGGATCTTCACGGGTCCTTTTTAACGGGGAGACTTAACAAGGTGGTTTAAAAAAGGAAGGTTATATTCGCCCCTAACCTCCGCAGTCGTTCTTTGTGCTTTATCCGAATCAAATTCACAAACGGTACCTCATGTAAACTCAGCAAATCGCAATCGTCACGAGTAACATCAAATGTATCATGCCAGTCATTTGCACGAAATGTCAACTGTTTATCTGCAGTGTTTCTCTGACAAAACTCGGTGGTCTTTGTGTTGATACTTTGAAAGTAATCCACCTCATCCCCAAACGTTGGCCCTTCTAAAGCAATGCGTTCTTTGAATTTTGACAGAAAATGATTATACAGCATATAATCAAGAGCAAGGTAAGGTTTCAGTTGGTCAGGGATGTTTTTCATTGTAATTGTTTTATGTGAGTGTGCGTTTATTTTCAAAAACAGTATGTCTTCCATTGGCCACTTTAATATTCGTCGCATGAGCACTATTGATTCGTAGAACAGATCCGCTATAATGACAAGGTTGAACTCTTTGTCAAGTTGTGTAAGATGATCCTTAAATTTGGAAACGTTTTTATAGTCTCGTAGAGGAAAGCCAAAATCTCTGGCCATTTTATTATTTGTTTGAGAAAGACCACCTGCCTTAAGTTCATAAGCCCCGGGGTCGTTGATATAGGTTTCAAAGGGATCCGGTCCTTTGATTTCCATCAGTTCCTTAAAATGATGCACATTTCGATAAAAATGAAATGCTGAGTACATTCTTTGGAAAGGTTCTCGTACAATAGCAAAATACACTGTGTCAGATGGCAGAAATCGCGCTATGACTTGATGGTTATAATAATGCAGATGATTACAGAGAATATCATAGCCTGACTCCATGTCAGGAGGGATCAATGTTACACGGTCACGTTGATCTCTCATGTCCAAATAGGTACCTTTGAAGGGAAGGACAAAATTGAGGTTCCTTTTATTTCCAAATCTGTAAAATATGTTCATCATTGTGGAACTCGCACATTTGTGGGCTTTCAAAAACGCAATATGGCGTATCTCGGATGACTGATTAGGCGAAATTGTTGCGTTGTGTATATTAGGGTTGTATTCTTCAACAACTGGAGGATCTTCTGAAGCATCTCGTAACGCTTGCTGGCAGTGTGGGTCCAAGACCAGGGCCTTGATCTTATCTCTGTACACTTCATAACCAATGTGCGAGATTGACATGAGTGTGGCCACTGCAATGACTGTGCACACACCTCTGAAACATCAGAACAGTATCAATTGCAATTAACACGTCCCATTTTAATTCTGGAAACCCAATAATCCAGAAACTCTACATGCTGTTTTCGTGGAAACATACCAAGGAAGACAAAATGAAAAAAAAAATTGTTCAAAAACTCAATAATTACACTATGTCGCCCATGGGCGAGAATATGTTCCTTTACTTAAAACCGCAAATACATAAGTGTATTTCTTTCAAGTATCATGACACAAATTTTAACTCATTTTAATTTAATTCAACGATTGTATAGTGATATTGAAATATTTCGCCCATATGCGAGAAAAAGGTTTGGCCCATGGGCAGGCCCATTGGCGAGAATATGTTCCTTTACTTAAAACTCATGTTTTCGTTTCGCAAATACATAAATATATTTCTTTCAAGTATCATGACACAAAATGTAACTCATTATAACTTAATTCAACTATTTTATAGCGATGTTGAAATATTTCGCCCATGGGCGAGAATATTTTCCTTTGCTCAACAGTTTTAGTTTCGCAAATACATTAAGGGATTATAAGCATGACATATGATTCACCTCATTTTAACTTAGTTCAACTTATTTGTGGCGTTATTAAAATATTTCGCCCATGTTTTCGTCAGTCCCTTTAAAGCATCAACTAACTTGTGCAAAGTATATTGTATCATGTGAAATATACTTTATATCATATCATTACATTACTATTTAAAAAGGCCTTTGGTTGGATGTTTCCTTTTTAGAAGTTTTACAAATTTCACCTGTTTTACGTATTGTAGCGAGCTTTAATAAACCCGGTCTTACCTCTCAAAACGTTTTGACAGGTTATCATACGAATTCATGCGCGTGTACTCCAATTCATCTGAGTTATTTTCCACAACATTAGAGTTTAGTTAGTTTCTTTTTCATTTCCCATTTTATGTCCCGTTGATACATCACACTGGGCAATTACGTGACACTAGTTTTGCAGTATACAGGAACACGTGCGCGTATTTTAATGGAAAAAACTATTCGCCTTTTATTGCATAACAATAAATTCTGGCTGAATATCTCACATTCTAACGAAATCTCGAAATAGTTATTTAATTACATGCGGTGTCTAACTGACCAGTGGGAATTATGTTTCAATGCGATTGAGGAAAACTTAAGTAACTTTTAAATGCATTGTCACTTTTGGTATGAAAATGGTAACAGTTAAGAAAAACGCAACAGCCTTCTTGTGATAATTCTCATATTCTCATTAGTACGTTGTATCTAATTACAGTGTCGGCCTTATTTACAGGTGATTCTACAATACCTGCTATCGGTTAGTTACGATCTACCACACCACGCGTGAATAAACAGTTATGCAGGTGTTGCGGTGGGCAAATACCTAACCTGTATATGTATAATTTCTTGTGGATACATGTATTACATATTTTCGTTGATATGTGTATATATTAAGCACAAAGACAAAAAATGTTTATGAAAGATGAATTAGTGTCTTGATATATTCAAAGAAATGTGTATCATCGTTTAATGGGTCATTCAATAAAAGTATGTTTGGAGGAGATATCAAAGGAGCCGCCCAATATACACAGTGTCGTCCGGTGAACTACCACCCCACCCTGTCTGTAACAGTTATGTAATCGGCACACAAATATATTTGATGCGGTGTCAGTGTGGAAGGAGTTTGAATTACGTCCGCCACTGGCCACAGAAATCCTCAAATCATAGTATCAATCAACAAGGTCAATGCCGCAGTAATTACCTAGTGACGCACGTAACAACGACTGTCAATCTGTCTGCTACAGCTACTATATCATCATCCCTAGGCCTGTCACAACTGGCATATTAAGGGCTTATTCAAAATATTAATTGTAGAAACGTCGTTAAGAGACTAACGTATGTCGTATACAGTCCTCATAATTGATTAAAAAAAAAGAAGTAAATACGTCAACTGGGAATTCAACTGGATGTTACCTTCCTTATATCAGCTAACAGCCCTGTTTGTGAAAATATGTACTAGACATAAGATTTAAAGACTAATAAAATCAATTGTAAGACCGCATAGACCATAAAAACCGATTTAAATATGTCTTGGTATCATCTCTTGTGTGTTAGATGATGGCAATGACCTGAAATGTTATAACGTTAGATTAAGAAGGAGAAACATTAAAGTGTTTTATAATACTTGGGAACATGAGCAATAAAATGTAGCATAATAAACATGCATGGAATAGAGAAAATGGTGAAAACAAATTGAAAATACAAAATTATTGAACTAAATAACTTGCCTGAACACAAGGGGTACCCAAACTTGTTTGACAGTTATTCGTGTGTTGTAGACTGTCGAATGGGACTCGTGTGTGTGCGTAGGGTTCAAATATCTATTGCAAGTGTTAGTACTCATACACTTTCTCTTTTTGTGTTGATATGATTTCTATTTTCGTACATGATATGATTTTATTTTTATCTTTAGCTGCTCTGTTTATATATGTTGGAGTAGTTGTCTGTCCCTCATAAATTGACATGGTGCTTCCTCGCTATTGCATCTCTTGACTACGGGAGATCTACAACATATAGCGGATCTAACTGCAATTCTTGTTTTAACCAAGCCCGGGTTTGACATTCCAGTAACTGGATTCAGGTTGATTGCAAGATATGCATACCTCGTCATAGTGATTGTTGAGAATTCCTCAAAGTTTTGTTTGTTTGTTAGTTGCCCACTCAATGTCTACTCAAAGTAATATCGTAGGGTACTCATAGTACATGTGAGACTATACTCAGGTTAGGGAGATGTTTAATCTATATAACGTGTTATTGTTCTACCTAACAATGCATTTGATGAAATGAATACAAAACAAACTCAACGGTTAAAAGGTTTCATTGAAAAAACTACCCCTGGTCTTGCCTAATAAAACAACTGCAACCCGACACAGATCAAAAGCAACTTAAAAAAAACACAATCATAATCTGGTTGATCTGTATCACTCAACGAGTTGGAGTAGCTTACTCTGCCAACAGTATGACAGTATTGGGCAGCTCAGTAATTAGGAGGTAAGACCAGGCAGGTACACTGGTCACACTTGACTGGTCTGTCTGATGATAAGGTCCTCTGGCAATTGGGCGTGAACCATAGCGGTTATCTCCCAAAACCCCTACATCCTATTTCCCCTACAACCCATTTCTCCTACAATTAGTTAAAACAACACGCGGCATTTACCTGTCTGGCATTATGAACTCGACTAAAGGAGAGATTAAGGTCTGGAGTAGAGGTAGTAGAAATAAAAGGGGTAGAGCTTTAGGGGATAAGGGGACTTAAAGGAAAGTTTAAAAAAAAAAGAATTAATGTAAGTGTAATGAAAGATGCCTGTATGATGAGAAGACAATTTTTAGAAATTACAAAAATAACAATAGGAAGAAACAAGACGGTAATGATGACAAGATTCTGGCGTTTGGCAGTCTAGAGAGTCTAGAGGCCTTGCAGTCATCTGAGATTCTATACATGGATGGAACGTTCACTGCCTGCCCTGGACTGTGTCATGCATCCAGACAGACTTCAGCCAATGGCTGCTATTCGTGCTGTCAAAGTCGTGTTTCTTACTGCCGATGTGAATGGATGTTTCTTCCATTACTGCCAGGCGATATGGAGGAAGGTCCAGCATCTGGGACTAGCTGTCGCCTATTGAGAAGATCCTGAAGTCTGCAAGTGGATAAGAAGAGCAGCTGGCCTACCCCTACTCCCCCAGAACAAGATCCAGGACACGTGAGCACGATTCCCCCTTCCACTGTGGAACCATCACGGTACAACACGTCCCAGGACGAACAACAACCTGGTAGGCTTTCATAACCGACTCAACCGAGGTCACCCTCACCGACATCCCAACATCTACCGATTTGTGGAGGTAGTCAGGAAGGTGGAACAGGCAGAACGAGCTAAGATTTTACAGCTCGACTTTGGAGCAGCTCCAACAGGCAGGAAGAGAGTGTACAGAGAGGTGGAGAACCGTCTCTGCCGCCTGAAGGACGAGTTGAATAGAGAGGTGAAATCCCCAATGCAGTTTCTAGATGCGGTTGGCCATCTCCTCAGGCTGGGATAAAGAGTGAATTGAACATTTGAGATGAAATTTATTATAATGTATTATGAATTTTGAAAAATGAACATTTTGTTATAATGTATTATGAATTTTGAAAAATGAACATTTTATTATAATGTATTATGAATTTTGAAAAATGAACATTTTATTATAATGTATTATGAATTTTGAAAAATGAACATTTTGTTATAATGTATTATGAATTTTGAAAAATGAACATTTTTTTATAATGTATTATGAATTTTGAAAAATGAACATTTTATTATAAGGTATTATGAATTTTGAAAAATGAACATTTTATTATAATGTATTATGAATTTTGAATAATATCGTAATCGTAATTAAATATTTATCTCAATCTATTCGTGTTTCTTGGGTTGTTCCATTGTATGAAATAGGTAACAGACTAAGGATTAGCAGTGCAATGGACCTTGAACTTTGTTGTCTTAAGCTGTAGGGGAAATGGGATGTAGGGGTTTTGGGAGGTTACCACCATAGCAAGTACAGCGGGATATCTGCGAATCTTGTTGCTCCTTTTATGGGACCGATTAGTTTTATGACCATGGGCCTCGGCACAAGCGTGGTGCTGGAAGACAAGTTATACATGTACGTACATCCCATATGGTGACTGTTTTTCGCTATTCATATTCTAAATTCATTCATAATACGACAACATTTTAGTACTTCTTCAAACTTTACAATCACTTCAATATGTACAATAGATTGAACGAGAACAAATGATATATTGCAGATTATTAAATCATTGTCTCTATTATCAGCCGCTACGTTTGTATCGTTTGCATTGTACAAAGAAATATTGTGTCTGTCCTTTTGCAGATTTAGTCCCAGAATGTGCTCATTCGAATTAGGAACGAAAGTAATTGCTTATCATGAGTATGTATGATACAGTTAAAAGTTACTTG